GACCTGGCGCAAGGAAGAGCAACGGCGGGGGGAGGGGTGCAGTGCGGTAGGGGAAGAGACGGTAGTAAGGAACCGACTCGTTAAACGTGACGTCCTAGGAGGACAGAACACGGCGCGAGGTGGGGTGGTAAAACTGCCAGCCAGGCGCGTCAGGGGGGAAGCCAAGGAAGACGTAGGGAACCGCTCGGGGGGATAGCTTGTCCGCAGACAAGTCGCGGACAAACGCCCGAGATCCCCAGACACGAAACGCAGACGCATCACCAACCTTCCCCGTCCACCGCAAGGTGGGGGAGGTCTCCGGCAAGGAGACCTGGGGCTGACGGTTGATCTGATGCACTGCGTACCGAACCGCAAACGGCCACAGAAAATGGGGAGCAGCCGCATGGATCATGGACGTACGAGCGACGTCCATGACCATGCCAATGCGGCACTCAGCAATCCCATTTTGCTATAGAGAAGCCGGAAGCGTGAAGGTCTGGCGGATGCCCTGTGCACGACAGAGAGCTCCCACAAGGGCAGAGGAAAACTCCCCGCCTCTGTCAGAGTGCAGACGCAGAACAGGAAAGTCTGAGTCGAAACTCTCTATGAGCTGGAGACGAGCCGCGCGGATCCAATTGATCATCACCTCAGTGACGTCACCCTTGCTGCGCAAGGGGAACACTGTGGTGTAACGAGAGTAGTCGTCAACCACCAACAGGAAGTAACGCTCGTGACCCTGGCCACGGACGCGGGCGGGGCCCCACACGTCCATGTGAAGAGTCTGCAGCGGAGCCTCTATCGGAGGAAACTCGGAGGAGTGAGGGGCGGCGCGCTGCCGCCCCTCGGCGCAGGGAACGCAGGTAGGGGCAGGCCCTAGAGGGAGGGGAGGGAGAGACCGAGGAAGACCAAAGACAAGGACACGGGAGGGCATGCCTCGGAGACGAGGCAGGGAGGGGTGACCAAGGCGGTGGTGCTAGAGGAGAGTCTGGTGGGACAGGAGACGACACGAGCAGGGAGCAGACTCAGGACCAGACCTGGACGCTGCAGCAAACACCTGATTCGACGCAGCTACTTGACCAGACTCAGCAACCGGAGGAGACTCAGTAGTCAGTGTGTACAGGCTCGACCCCGGCCGACGGGTAAACGTGGCCAAGCGTCGGCCCGTCCGAGCACACGTACAGTGGGTCACTCGCTGACTCGCAGGAGTGAACTGGTCAACCCCCCCATCTTGTAGATCAGCACCACTCTCCGAATTCGTAGAGAACGAGGGGAGGTAGAGACCTGACAGGGTGCCAGAGGGGGCTGCCGGACACCGTAAGACAGTGGAGAAGTGAGCAAGGACAGGACCCCCAGAGGGGTCCGCCAGGGAGACCGCAACCGGCCGACTAAGCGGCGTAAGCGTGTTTCGGTCTTGAAAGAAGGTGTGTAAGGCCTGAGCCGATGTGGTACCTGAGAGAGCAGACTCACTAGCACCTGGGGCAGCAGACGCACTAGCACCTAGAGCAGCAGCCTCACCAGCACCTAGAGCAGCAGCCTCAATGTCCGGGTCAGGCGGAACACACAGGTATCAGTCACCCTCATCACTAGTAGACACAGCATACATGGCAGCAAGAATAGCATCATAATCAAGATTAAAGATAGCAACCCCCGGCCTCTGCAGCTCTCCCCAGCGAGGGATCTCAGTGGCGTCAGGGAACTGGAGACGCCAGGGAACTGGAGACGCCAGGCGTCCGTCAGGCGGCCGAAGCAGCGCTGGGTGGGGTGCGGGCCCCCGCACTGCTCACTCGTATGGTCGCTGGTACGCAGGACATAGGTACAAGGACCAGTACCCCCACCCCACTGACGCGAAGCGTACCACTCACGAAGCTGCTGGTGGGGCGGGGTCTCACGAGTGCGCTGCTGCTACTGGCGCTGACCACCACCGAAGCCGCCCCGCTGCGCAGAGCCACCCCGACTAGCTCCACCTCCTCCGCCGCCACCTCCGCCACCACCGTCACCGCCTCCTCCTCCGCTCCCACCGCCACCGCCGCCGCCGCCTCCGCCGCCACCGCCGCCACCGAAGCCCCCACCCCCGCCACCACTCCAACCACCACCCCCACTCCCTCCGCCTCCTCCACCGCCACCTCCACCGCCCCCGCCAGCCCCTCCAGCGCCCTTGCCCCCCTTGCCCTTGCCGGTGCGGCGTCTCCCACTAGGGGCAGACGCTGCGTCGACCGACTCGGTGCCAACGAAGTCAACGGCAGCAGCAGAGGCAACAGAGGGCAAAAGGGGGGAGGGGTAGCACCTCTCAAAGACAGGGGCACGCGGGTCACCTCGAGAGGCTCCTAAAGCGACTATACTCTTCTCAGCTGCCAGGAGGCGCTCTTCGAGGAGGTCAACGGTCAGTGTGGTGGGGCAAACAGAGAGGAAGTGGTCCCTGACCGAGCGAAGGGAGTCAGGGAGCCGGGTGACTATGTAGTAGAGGGTGATGTACATGGGGGGGGGGCTTTCTTGGCGAAGAACTCAGCAGGAAGCGCAGCGCGGTAGCGAGTATCACTAGTGCGAAGGTGCGTAACGAGGTCAGCGTTAGTGGGAAAGGCGGCGAGGTCAGGAAACAGGTACGGCAGCATGAGGCGGCTAAGGGCAGCAGTGGCAAGGGAAGAGTAGCGTGCAACTACAGCATCGTACAAGGTCTTAGCACTCTTGTACTGACTAAAGTGCGCGCGCTCAGTGGACGGCAAGTGACTACGCACAGCAAGACGGGCAGCAGCATCGCGTGTGCCCCACCGTGAGCGAACAGTGCTGTCAGCATTGGCAGCAGGGGCAGTAGAGGCGCCAGACATGAGATCGAACAGGGAGAGACCGTCCTTCCTATCGCACTGTAGGAAAAGCTGTAGATCATCGACCCAGACCTCAAAGTCAACAGCTCGACCCTCAGCATCAAAGACTAGAACACTAGGGGTAGCCATGACAGCAGTGGCAGCAGGCTAGGGGCAGCAGTAGCAGGCGTGGCTCGGCAGTGCTCTCACCAGGGCTGGTAGGTAGGGGGCGGCAAGCGGTGGGGCAGGGCCGAGGCGCGTCGGCAGAGACAGAGCCGCGACCGTGGCAGCAGCCCCTGCTGTTGGCGGCAACGGCTGCTGCTGGTGGTGGAGGAGCCGAGGAGGGGCCGGGAAGGGTGGCGACGGGGCCACGAAGGGCGGCGACGGGGCCGAGAAGAGGCCGCGAGGGGCCGTGAAGGGCGGCGACGGGGCCGCTAGAGGCGGCGACGGGGCCGCGAAGGGCGGCGACGGGGCCGCTAGAGGTGGCGACGGGGCCGCGAAGGGCGGCGATGGGGCTGCTAGAGGTGGCGACGGGGCCACGAAGGGCGTCGACGGGGCCGATAGGGGCGGCGACAGGGTCGCGAAGGGCGGCGACGGGGCCGATAGGGGCGGCGACGGGGCCGCTAGGGGCAGTGACGGGGCCGCAAAGGGGCCGCGAGGGGCCTCGAAGGGCGGCGACGGGGCCGCTAGGGGCGGCGACGGGGCCGCAAAGGGGCCACGAGGGGCCTCGAAGGGCGGCGACGGGGCCGCTAGGGGCGGCGACGGGGCCGCGAAGGGGCCGCGAGGGGCCTAGAAGGGCGGCGACGGGGCCGCAAAGGACGGCGACGGGGCCGTATAGGGTGGCGACGGGGCCGCTAAGGGTGGGGCGAGGGGCCGTGAGAGGGGCCTCTAGGAGGGCGCGACAGGCCGCTAAGGGCAGGGGACGCGACGAGAGGGCGGCCCACAGGGCGCGCCTCGGGCAGGGGCGACTCGCGCTCCGGTCAGGAAAAAATAAAATCGATTTCAGTGGTGGGCCCTAAGAAGCGTTCCCACTAGGGAACCTGCTCTATACCATGTGAAGAAATGAGGAATGAAATGACTAAGGAAAATGTGGGTACTGTCATAAAATTATAGCTTATACATTTGTGTAGGCTGTAGCGGGGTAGCCCATAAGGGGTACAACCCAATTAGGGTTAGTACTTGTACCCAACTCTTTCATAGTTCAATCATTCTTGTTTCTCGTCATGGTATCGAGCAGGTTCCCGAGTGGGAATGCTGCCTAGGGCCCACCACGATTTTTTTCCCCCTACCCGTAGCGCGCTTCACTCCTACCCGAGTAGCGTTCCGTGTGCCTTACCTACCCTCGAGCCGCCCTTAGTGGCCCCTTTGGCCGCCCTTACGGCCCCTCGCGCCGCCCTCTTGGGCCCCTCGCGTCGCCCTCTAAGGCCCCTCGCGCCGCCCTTACGGCCCCGCCTAGGCCCCTTACGGCCCCTCCGCGGCCCCGTCTAGCCCCTTACGGCCCCGCCTAGGCCCCTTACGACCCCTCCGCGGCCCCGTCTAGGCCCCTTGCGGCCCCGTCTAGGCCCCTCCGCGGCCCCGTCTGGCCCCTTACGGCCCCTTACGGCCCCGCCTAGGCCCCTTACGGCCCCTCCGCGGCCCCGCCTATGCCCCTTACGGCCCCTCCGCGGCCCCGTCTAGGCACCTCCGCGGCCCCGTCTGGCCCCTTGCGGCCCTGTTTCGGCCCCTCTGCGGCCCCGCTTAGGCCCCCTCTGCGGCCCCATCTGGCCCCTTGCGGCCCCAGCTAGGCCCCTTTCGGCCCCGCTTAGGCCCCTCTCGGCCCTGTCTCGGCCCCTCTACGGCCCCGCCGCCACCTGCGGCCCCGCCGTCACCTGCGGCCCCACCGCCACCTGCGGCCCTGTCGCCGTCACCCGCGGCCCCGTCGCCCTACCCTAGCGGCCCCATCACCGCTCCGCCGCCCAGGGACCGAGCCGCCAAGCAGCACAGCAGCCGAGCCGCCCAGCAGCCGAGCCGCCCCGCAGTCGAGCCGCCGAGCAGCCGAGCCGCCCAGCAGCCGAGCCGCCCTGCCGCCGAGCCGCCCAGCAGCCGAGCCGCCCTGCAGCCGAGCCGCCCTACCGCCGAGCCGCCGAGCCGCCCTACTGTCTAGCAGCTGCTGTTCCTACCAGTGCTCCCCGGCCCCTCCTTCCTCGGACTGGTGAGCTCACTTCCTCCTAGGCCACTGCAGTCATGGCTTCCCCCAGTGTCCTCACTTTTGATGCTGAGGGCCGTGCCGTTGACTTTGAGGTCTGGGTCGATGACCTCCAGCTGTTTCTTCAGTGCGATAGGGCGGACTGCCTCTCCCTGTTTGACCTCACTTCTGGTGCCTCTCCTGCCCCTGCTGCTGATGCTGACGCCACTGTTCGCTCACAGTGGGCCACGCGCGATGCTGCTGCTCGCCTTGCTGTGCGCCGCCACTTACCAACCACTGAGCGTGCACACTTTAGCCGGTACAAGAGTGCTCAAACCTTGTACGACGCTGTAGATGCACGCTACTCTTCCCCTGCCACTGCTGCACTGAGCCGCCTCATGTTACCGTACCTCTTCCCTAACCTTGCTACCTTTCTCACAGTCGCTGACCTCATTACGCACCTCCGCACTAGTGACACTCGCTACCGCGGTGCGCTTCCTGCTGAGTTCTACGCCAAGAACCCCCTCCCCCATGTACATCACTCTCTACCAATAGTCACCCGGCTCCCTGACTCTCTCCGCGTAGTCAGAGACCAGTTCCTCTCAGTTTGCCCCACCACTCTCACCGTTGACCTCCTCGAGAAGGCCCTCCTAGCGATAAAGAAGAGCATAGTCGCTGTAGGAGCCTCTCGTGGTGACCCTCGCACCCCCGTCTTTGAGGGGTGTTCTCCCTCCCCCCTCTTGCCCTCTGTTGCCTCTGCTGCTGCGGCCGACCTCGTTGGTTTCGAGTCGGTCGGCGCTGCGTCTGCCCCAAACGGGAAACGACGCACCGGCAGGGGCAAGGGGGGCAAAGGCATTTGAGGGGCTGGAGAGGGCGGTGGAGGTGGTGGTGGAGGCAGTGGAGAGAGTGGGGGTGGTGGTGGGAGTGGTGCCGGGGGTGGTGGCGACGGCGGCAGCAGTGGAGGAGGCGGAGGCGGTGGAGGTGGCGGAGGGAGCGGAGGAGGCGGAGGTGGCGGAGGAGGCGGAGGTGGAGGAGGCGGCGGAGGCGGCGGCGGCGGCGGCGGCGGCGGCGGTGGTGGAGCGGGTCGCGACTCTGCGCAGAGGAGTGGCTCAGGTGGTGGTCCGCGCCAGCAGCAGCGGAGTGGTGTGACCCTGTCCCCTCAGCAGCTTCGTGAGTGGTACACTGCGCGTCAGCGCGGTGGGGGTTTTGGTCCCTGCGCTTACGTCCTCCGTACCGTCGACCGAGCTGGTGAGCAGTGCGGAGGCCCGCACTCCACCCAGCGCTGCTTTGGTCGCCTGACGGACGCGTGGCGTCGCCAGTTCCCAGAGGTGTCAGAGATCCCTCGCTGGGGAGATCTGTCTAAGGCCGGGGTTCCTATCTTTGATCTTGATTTTGATGCTATTCTTGCTGCCATGTATGCTGTTGATACTAGTGTTGCGGGTGACTGTTACCTGTGTGTACCGCCTGACCCGGGCATTGAGGCCGCTGCTCTAGGTGCTGGTGAGGCTGCTGCTCTAGGTGCAAGTGCGTCTGCTGCCCCAGGTGCCAGTGCGTCTGCTGCCCCAGGTGCTGGTGAGTCTGCTCTCTTAGGTACTACGACGGCTCAGGCCTTCCACACCTTCACCCTAGACTCGGGTGCGTCCCGCTCCTTCTTTCGAGACCGCACCACTCTTACGCCGCTCTGTCGGCCGGTTGCAGTCTCCCTGGCAGACCCCTCTGGGGGTCCTGTCCTTGCTAGCTTCTCCACTGTCCTACCGTGCCCGGCAGCCCCCTCTGGCACCCTGTCTGGTCTCTACCTCCCCTCGTTCTCTACGAACTTGGTGAGTGGAGCGGACCTACAGGATAGGGGGGTTGACCAGTTCACTCCTGCGAGTCAGCGAGTGACCCACTGCACGTGTGCTCGGACAGACCGACACTTGGCCACGTTCACCCGTCGGCCAGGGTCAAGTCTCCTCCTGCTGCTGAGTCTGCCCAGGCAGCTGCGTCGAGTCAGAAGTTTGCTGCGGCGTCCAGGTCTGGGCCTGAGTCTGCTCCCTGCTCGTGTCCTCTGCTGTCCCACCAGACTCTCCTTTGGCACCACCGCCTTGGTCACCCCTCCTTGCCTCGTCTCCGCCAGCGCGCCGCAGCGATCGCGTGTCGGCTGCTGCAGCTCGCGCCTAGCCGCTGTCAGAACATTATAGCTTATACATTTGTGTAGGCTGTAGTGGGGTAGCCCATAAGGGGTACAACCCAATTAGGGTTAGTACTTGTACCCAACTCTTTCACAGTTCAATCATTCTCGTTTCTTGTCGGGTACAAGTAGGAAACCTAGCAATGTTGTACCCTATAGTGTCTACCCCACTACAGCCTAGATAGACTATAGCATATAAGTCTGACAAAACAGACCAAGCAGCAGGGAAACGCTGGGAGTCAGTAGCAGACGGGCCCTCTACTGACAGGTCAAGCCGCTCGCCCGACCCAACCGACCCTCACCGAGTGATTGTGCTGGTTCACGCAATCGACCACACCCCGCCAAATAAGGAGGGTACTACGGTAGACAGCCCCATACTGCTTAGTGGGAAAATCGGGACGAACTTAGTAAAAATCTTCGTAGACGGGGGAGCCAGCCACAGCCTCATCAATACTGCCACAGCACGAAAACTGCGACTGCCACTGGACAGATGTTTACCTGAGATCGACACAAGACTGGTAGATGGCACGCCGCTGGCGATACGGGAACGCGTAGACCGGGTTCGGATTCGATGTGGGGGTAACTTCTCATTTAGCGAGGAAATGCTCGCAACGACCCTCGACGGAACTGATAATTTACTCGGGCGTGATTGGCTGCGACGACACAATCCGCAAATTGACTGGACGATGGGTGACTGCACCGTGCGAGTGAACGGTAACAACATTGTCTTACCTCGCTGGGGCTCACCTGAGTCTTCGTCGGTGCGTGTCAACGCGATCACTGTTGTGCCAACACATTACAGTGGCATGGTCATTGCACTCCCATTCGGCCTACAAGCCTGCTCAGCTTCTGGAATTTTGTGGGGAGGTTGTTCAACATGTGTTCTTCAAACCCTCAAAGTTTCAAAGTTTTTGAAGCAGTTACCAAGGCATGACAACATTTTATGTTTCAAGACTTATGGCATCCCGGAAGTGTGTGTTACTCCTTTTTGGTAACACCCGAGTTCACCATTTCGGCTTTGGCCTCGTCTACCGAGCTCTGATTGGTCTGAAATTCGGTCTGGCAGTCTTTTGCCCCGCTTTGCAGGTGGTCACCAAGTTTCAGAACGATCCAAAATCTGAGCATTGCGTGACAGCTGCCGAAATTCACTGTTCCGTAGTCATGGTGCACTGTTGGCAGCATTTCCCTTGCCACCCTTTCATTGTTGTCATGCCAATGGTGCAGGGACAGAGAATGAGACAAGAAGTACAGGTGGTCAAGTGGGACTCTACAGCTCTCCTATTGAGAAGTGTGGTATTCCTAGAACCAGCTTGCAAGAGGGTGCAAGTGGGAAGACAAGCTGACTCATGGTTGGCTTAACTCACAATTGGTTGCCTTGAGTAGAGCTCTGAACATCCATGTGTGGTTGGCTTTGCTGACCTAGCTAGGACGTTTCCCATCCTTCTCTAGCTTTTCTCCCCTAGGACTCAACCTTCTCTGAGTTCTCAGGATGATCCCAACCCCTTAAGAGTCCCCTTGGCAATGTTGTACCTCACCTCTTCCTTGCATCAATGAGAATACACGTTTTCAGCCGAGATTACTTTTTTGTTCACAGCATAGCGCATACACCTCTGGTGAAAACAAGCAATACACCGCTGGAAAGCAGACACTTAAGGCTAAATGCTGTCCAAGTTTCAGCCTCATGTGTTATTGGAGCTGATCGTGACGGCGTTTTGAACAGAGGCGGTTTGAAGACGTCAGATTATGCTTAGGCGGTTTCATGGGCATCCGCTACCTCTAAGTGGACTCTTGACTATAACAATCATGATGAAACGCGCCGTAGCGGCAGGAGCTGACGTGTACGCGGTCAACATTCGGGAAGCCGAGGCAGCAGACAAAGGAGGGGATTTACAGAAACTGCTAACCGACGTACCGATTGATCTGGCAGCACTGTTGAAGCAGTACAGCGTGTCAAATGTTATATTTGCTACAGTTTGTTTAGGCTGTAGTGGGGTAGTTACTATGGGGTACAGTAAGTTTAGGGTTTCCTACTTGTACCCAACTCTTTCCTAGTTCAATCACTCTTGTTCATTCTGACATGGTATCCAGAGCCTAGGTTAGCCACCTAGGACCGCTTACTACTACGGGCCCTCGTGCGCCTTTCTCTGCCCGTGCGCCTTCTTTCTGCTAGTGCGCCCTCGCGCGCCCCGCCCTTCATTCTACCCGCGCGCCGTCCTCTGCCCGTGCGCACGGAGCCCGCTAGCCGCCCACGCAGTTTGTACCGGCCTGGCGCGGCCCCTCGAGCCGCCCGCGACCTGCCTGCACGTAGGCCACCGCCCGTAGGCTGCCCGTCGCTCGCCGTCACCCATAGGCCGCCCTTACGCTGCCTGCGCTGCTACCGCTACTACTGCTGCTACTGCTGTTCCTGCTGCTGCTACTGCTACTGCTCCTCCTGCTGCTACTGCTTCTACTGCTGCTCCTGGCGTGGCCAGATGCAGCTCCAGGGCCGTCCGCGTGTGTCCCTCACGCCCCCGCAGCTTTGTGAGTGGTACGCCAGTTGGGGTTGTCGGGGTGGCCGTAGTGGGAGTCGTCCTGGAGTGGGTAGTTCGGGAGCTTCTTGTAGTGGCCCGGTGCAGCAGCAGCGTCGTCCGCGAGAGACTCTTTCGCCCCAGCAGCTTCGTGAGTGGTACGCTCAGAGTCGAGGGTCGCTGAGTACTGCTCGCTACCCATACGTTATTAGCACGGGTGTCCGGACTGGTCAGCCTTGCGGGACGCGTGGTCACACAGAGTCCCGCTGCTTCGCCCGTCTGAGCGACGCTTGGCGTACAGAGTTTGGCGACGACGCTGAGCTCCCCGACTGGGTGGAGTTGCTTAGGCAGAGGGTAGATATCTTTGCTCTTGACTATGATGCTATTCTCACTGCAATGTATGCATTGTCTACTAGTGTTGAGGGAGCCTGTCACCTGTGTGTGCCGCCTGACCCCGGTATCCAGTCTGCTGCTCCAAGTGCCGGTGAGGCTGCCGCTCTAGGTGCTAGTGCGTCTGCTGCCCCTGGTCCTGGTGAGGCTGCTGCTCTAGGTGCAGGTGTGTCTGCTCCTTCAGGTGCTTGTGAGTCTGCGCCTTCAGGTACTGAGTCTACTGAGGCACTACACACCTTCACACAGGACTCGGGTGCTTCTCGCTGTTTCTTTCGCAATCGCAGTGCCCTCGAGCAGCTCCCTAGGCCGGTTGCTGTCTCCCTGGCTGACCCCTCAGGGGGTCCGGTCCTTGCGACCTCCACCACTGCCCTCCCTTGTCCTGCTGTCCCGTCTGGCACACTGTCGGACCTTTACCTCCCCTCGTTCTCTACTAACTTGGTGGCGGGTTCTGCGCTCCAGGACGCGGGTGTTCACCAGTTCATCCGTGCCTACGAGCGTGTGACACACTGCACGTGTGCCCAGACTGGTCGTCACCTGTCTACCTTCACTAGGCAGCCGGGGTCGGACTTGTACACACTGACCACTGAGTCCCCTCAGGTAGCGGCATCTGCGTCAGGTGAGTTGTCCGCCCCCTGCTCGTGTTGCACCCTGTTGCATCGGACGGTCCTCTGGCACCACCGCCTTGGTCACCCTTCGATGCAGTGTCTTCGTGGCATGCACTCTCGTTTCCTTGTCTCGGGTCTCCCCAGGTCACTGCCTCCCCTGCCACCGTCCCCGGCCCCTCCTTGCCTTCCCTGTGTCGAGGGGCGGCAGCGTGCCACCCCTCACTCCTCTGAGTTTCCCCCGACAGAGGCTCCTCTGCGGAACCTTCACATGGACGTGTGGGGCACAGCCCCCGTCCGTGGACAGGGTGGAGAGCGCTACTTCCTGCTGGTAGTGGACGACTACACGCGTTACACCACGGTCTTCCCCTTGCGCACCAAGGGAGAGGTCCTTGCTGTCTTGATCCTTTGGATCCGCGCTACCCGTCTCCAGCTGGAGAGGCGCTTTCGCACGGACCTTCCCGTCCTACGACTGCACTCTGACAGGGGTGGTGAGTTTTCCTCCAGCCTCTTGAAGACCTTCTGTCAGGGGGAGGGCATTCGCCAGACGTTCACGCTTCTGGCCTCTCTTTAACAGAATGGGGGTGCTGAGCGCCGCATTGGCTTGGTCATGGAGGTCGCTCGCACCTCCTTGGTCCATGCGGCTGCCCCCCATTTTCTGTGGCCGTTTGCGGTCCGGTACGCCGCGCATCAGCTCAACCTCTGTGTGAGAGTACGACGGCTTATGCCAGCTATGCTTGCTTGCCTCTACTTTATCATGCTATTTCTAGCATAGGATAATCATATGCATGCATGAATTGCTTGATTTCCTAGGCTAGGTGCTTTCATATATTTTATTATAGTTATAGCACCGAGCTAGGTTGCGTGCACCGAATTCTGGCTTTTCGGTTGCCACCGAATTGCCTTCTACCGAATTCGGTAAGGATCTGTTCGGGACGCTTCGCGACCCGCGGAACCTTCGCGTAACACCTGGTTACGGGGCCTTGTGTCGAGCCTATATATAGCCTCGTGTTGTACCCAGGTGGACATTCAATTCAATTTGAATCATCTTTTCTGAGCTCGATCCCAGATCCTCACACTTGGTAATCAGAGCGGGTTTACACGCGAGGTCTTCAAACCGCTTAGTTCCGGCCTTTAAAAACCGCGGGGGCGACGACGAAAGCGCCGATACGGGTATGTAAAACCAGTTCCGCGCAATTTTTCGAAGTCCTCCTCGATTCGGTTTTCGAACACCCCTCAGATTTACCGGTGGAAAGGTTGGAGTTTCGACCGTTCGATCGAGTTTCATCTCAACGGCCCAAAGAATTTCGCCCAAAAAAGTTGGAATTTGGAGCGTCGGATCGATTTTCTCCTCAACGGCCGAGATCGGACGCGAATTTCGCCTAAGGGAGATTTACGCAACCTACAGAATTCGCGCTCGTCGATTCTACAGTCAATTTGATTCGCAGTAAGTCAACCAGCACCTAGAATTCGATTATTTTCGTCGCGCAT